CCCTTTACTGCATGGAGTCTCACCTAATCTCACTTGCAAAGTCTTAAAAGCAGGATCTGTGGCAGCTGAACAACACATACTGGAACCTAACAGGATCTGGGACGGTGGCACACGCATTGTACACTTACACATGTAATTAGTGGGACTAATTTGCACTCAGAAGTGCTGCATATACAAGTTAGCAGGCAGATCTGCCATTCTTCTGGGCAAGAAAGTTAGACCGGGCTCCCGTTTTGACACCTAGAAGGCACCAGGGTCTGTGGAATATGGTGTTTTGAGAGAACAGTTATTTGTTGTGGTGGTATTGATTCGGAGACTAATCTCTTGGCCTCTTCCCATCTTGCTGTGCCAGGTGCCACGCATCAGCTTGCTGCTGGAACTGGGCTGAGCTGCAGGACTCTGCGGGCTGGCACCTGCCCAGGGCTTGGCTGCCACTTCCCTCTGAGCGCAGCATCCCGGTTGCGAGGGAGGTGCTGCTGCTGAAGACACCAGTGGGAGAGCACGAGATCTGCACCAGCTGAGCAAGTCTCAACCAGCTGGTGTTGGCAGGGTTGGGCGAGGGGAAAGGGACACTGCCTCTTCCTCACCATCTGGGCCAGCAATGAGTCGTGCTCCCCATTCGTTTTATTTGCTTCTCTTACGTCTGCAGCAGGTTCGATCAGATGTCAATGTAGATTTGGACACAGTACCAAAATCTTTGACCACGGGATTTATATCAACTCTCCCAACTCGAGACAAATGAAGGAGAGCTGTTTAGTGCAGCTTACAGAAGACATTGCATTTTGCTGCTATGAATCAGGTACTTTTCTCAGCTGCACTTTTTGAGATGCAGGCTTTTGCCTCTTCCCATTCAGCTGATCACAGGTAAACAAATGTACATATAATTAAGTTTTTGCAGTAATTCTCAAGTAGACACTTTGCACAAATAATCAATCTAGTAGTAGCAGGTTTTAATCTGACTCATGGACTAAGATGGCAACATGTGAGTCCAACAGATTCATTTGTATGGTTCAGTAGGGTATTTTAAATATCTCCCAAGCTTTCTACATTAGTAGCTGTTCCAAAAGAGTCACTAAAATTAAAGCACCATTAAAGCTGCAGAAGAATCATGGAAAGTCTAGTCTTAATGATTTTACTTCTAACACAGCCCGCCTGGAAGAGACACAAACATGTCAGCAGTGCCTGTGATGACATACACCCCTCACATTTGATCGGTTCTTCATAATTTGTTTTCACTTACTACAAAATTATTTCAGGTTTATAGTGATCTAACAAATTACAATGATGGAAACTAAAAGCACTTCTTTTCATACTCTACTGTGTAGGCTCTACGCGGGGATCAGCATAAGTGCCTGGAGAAGGGGATTACACCTATAGCTGAATATGATTTTACCATAGGACCATTACTGCTTAGAACCAAGCAAAATTTGGTTTCTGTGCACACGGGATACATTTCTCTCATTTGTCATTTCACTACTTGAACCCATCTTAAAAATAGATAAAAATGCTGATATCACAGTCTTTTTTGTAGAATCCCCATAGATTATACTGTTCAGATGACTGCAAAAGTCTGCTTTAAGGAAGATAAGGCTTTAGTTTCACATAAGAGATTTCAATGTCACTCACTGCTGAGCACAAAATCATCGTATGAGACATCTGAGATGTGCTGTTGCACAGTAATTCAAAGTAAAGAAGTGCAGAAGTGGAGTTTTTAGGAATTGAAGAATGAGCAGATACTGAAGGCTTGTGAACAGCTGATGTCCTTCAGCAAGTACTGATCAGACACAGCTAGTCAATCTGTCAGTGGGTCAGCCAAAACAACGTGCAGTGAGAGCAAGCACATGCTGATTTTGCAAATAATTAAGAATACCCTTCCACTGCTGAAGTTTTATAAGAGAATCTCCAAAAAGAAGCTTAATGTTTTCAGACATCATTAAAAAAGAAAGTGGTGGCATTCAGGAAAGCAAAGCTGTAACTCAAATCAGGAACTCAGACATATTAATTGCGCAAATCCCTGCTTTTTGCAGTGTTAGAGAAGTGCTGACATAGCCCAAGCAGTCGCTATCCCTTGGCAGTATTTGCTGGATCATTAGGAAAAAGAAACAAAGTGGAAGCTGGGTGTTGTCTGCCAAGTGAAGAAAGCTTTAAAATTGATGCAATGTTTGACTTTTACATGAGGCATTCACAGCATCTCCTCCGTGGAAGAGGAGAGGCAGCAGAGGTTCACCACCAGCATTCGTTTCAAGAGCATCACTTCAAAGCCCCAGCACCAGAAACAAATCCAACATTTGAGCAGCAGATTACTGCTGTCATTTTCTCACAGAAATGAATACGTCATTTTTATGTTCTGTTAAGCATTAAAAACTGATACTGAAAAACATCGTGAGCTCTTCTGTGCCAAAAGACTGCAAAATGATCCAGCTTCCGCCATGCTATTCCACTGTGTACAAAATATCAAGCTGGGATCTACAAATGATCCTTGAATTAGATGTTTGATCTAGCAGATGGACACAGACATGAAAGGGTATAAGGGCATCATGGCTGACTGGAGGTGAAGTTGTTAGAGAAGTTAGGAAAGGACCAGCAAGCTAGTCCTGGGCAATAGAATGGGCATGTTAGTGTTAGTATGGCATTGTACAGCTGCTGAACCCACAGAGCTTTACCAAGCAGACAACTGCTGGATAAGAAAGAAGAGTGCATTTGATCTTTCAGTGATGACCTGAAGGGGAAAAATTAGGATGTTTGAAAAGCTAAAGCTGCCCCAAGAATGCTTAGCATATTTTAACTCATGCATGACACCTAGCTGCTTACAGTAACTGGAACAAATAGGTAGGAACAAATTGGTACAATTTTCATTCCTTACTAATATTAAGATTTTGCTTTTAACCACTAACTATGTAAAGCTGAAGTGTTACTGTATACAAGTAGGTTCATCACAAGACTCAGAATTATCACGGAGACTACAATTATGATTACTACGTCTACTACACAAAGCAAAGGGTGTAGCAGACAAACCAGACAAATGCAACATCTTGTAAGCATTACTGAGTTCTGCCCCCAACAGAATCCAGAGCTGAAGTTTCTGAGTAGACTGGGTGATCACTGCAACTTCTGCGATCACAGCACCCTATACAAAGTTTATCTTAAAACCTGATGACTGCTGCAGTTCTTGAGTGAAATTTTGACTTGTGTTGAAAAGATTCAGTTCTCAGATGTTAAATGTGCATTCATGCATTTCCCATGAGCACTTTTTTAGATATCAGTCTATTTGTAGGGCAGATTCTATCTAAAAAGTTGCAGGAATACTATCTTATGTGAGGTAATGCATTAATGGCATGTACAAAAGTAATGCATGTACTTTTGTAACGGTTTGTCAGAAATAACCTAATACCTCTTTATTCTTGCTGTAAACATGACCCAGCACACTTTTTAGCTTCACAAGCTTCTATTGGATCACATTTCTAACCGTTACCCCTCGTGTCTTTACTGCTAGGCCAGCATACACAAACAAAATGGTTGTCTGTTTCCTTCTATTTCAGTTTTAATGTTGAGACTTACTGCTTCAGTGATTTAGACCAGAAAATAAAAAAAAAACAAAAACAACAACAAAAAAAACAACCCGAAGTTTTCTACTTTAGGCAGATGTTAGAAATATAAGAACATCATAGTTTAGAATGTTTTCTGTAATCAAACCAGTTCTTATTGAAAGGCATAAGGATGCTTCAGTATATGCTGCAGTCATCCACCCTGGGACAGAGATGTGCTGCTATAGATATGTCACTGCATCTGAGAATCTGTTCTTTATTTAGTTTTTTTTTTTTTAATTTTTTATTTTTTATTTTTTATTTATTTAGTTTTTTATTATTTATTTTAATCTCAAGGAAGTAATTTGTAGAGAAGTTTATCAAGGGATTTCCTACTTCAGTGCACCTCCTTTTAGACAAGATTAAGTTCAGATACTAGGTCTAAACTATGGGAAAAGGAGGCTCTGTACACTTTTCCTCCTAATTGCAGAAATTTGCACAAACATGGCTTTGTTACAGACATTCCATTTGTGTATTTACAGATAAGACACTGAATTTGAGGCATGATTTTTGAAGCTTATCTTAGATCTCATTTACTTAATTCAATACTAGTTTTATTGAATCTGAAGCATATTTATTGCTATATAGCATCAATTGTTTAATAACAAGGCAGCACAGTTGTAGCATTTGTGACCATATTGATGGGGTGCACTACTTTTCACATTAAAATATTGTGCATTTTTATTTTCTCAGAGTGCACTCATGGTTGCCCTGTTTCAGGGGGATCTGATATGCAGCATACCTTGGGAATCTTTTAATGCCAGCCAGCTCAGCAAGTCATCCATGCAGCTCTTCTCCATGGTAAGAATAGCTGTGGGAAGGTTGAACAGCATAAAGAGGGAAAAGAAACAACTATCTGCACTTCAAAGATTCCCTTCAGATGAAATAGATATAAAATCCACATAGATTACTGCAGCAGCTGTAAGGTGAAATTAAAAGTTGCCATTGCCAATATATGCATTTGCCTGGAGTATTCTCTGTGTTTACATATTCTGGGATGGACATAGCTGGAAAGGGGTGTATCACTTTTTTTTTTTTTTTTTTTTTTTCCCTTTAGACTGAAGGTGTTGTGACTTTAACTTAGGGTTTGTTAACACCAAGATCGCATTTCCAGTCCAAAGAATTCAGTGTCCAGCATGTAGCAATCTTGATTATATTCCGGTCAGGATGTGGCAGAGATGCTATTAGAAACAAAACAGCTAGTTCTCTCAGACAGTCCCACAAACATGCTTTATGGCATCTGCATCCTACTCATTTCAAGTGAGGCTTTACAGTGACACACTGGTGAAGATTAGTACACAACTGCAGGCAGATGCCCACGGCTGATTCAATTGTTTGCACTGACACTCACAGTTGCTGTAATTGCAGCTGAAATGATACAAGCCATTGCAAAAATCAGACAAAGTGAAACCAACATTGTTCCACAGAGATTTTATTAGTTGAAACACAGAAATGTACAATCCACTGTTTTCTCTTGGAACGAGTTCACCACGGCACTTCCTTTTGCCATGCCTGCAATACTGTCTTCGGTGATTTAATGAAAGAAGATTCAAAAAGTCTCCTTAAAAGCAGAGCTTGTGCAGTAAGGACAATACATTCCAGCCTCACTCGTTCACAAAACTTTCCTTTAAAAAAAAAAGTGATTAAAACATAAAGCAGCATATTGTTTTTAGAAAATCAGTGAGAGCTGAACGTGTTCCTAAGTAAAGAACATTTCTAAGTCAGTTTTAGTTTTCCTGCATGCTCCGTGTGCAGCTTCTGTTGTTCCTTTCCTTTTTTCTCCTCATAATCACTGAACACCTCTAATACTTCAGAGCTGGTATTTCTAAGAGGAGTGACCATCTTCTACAGCCTATGGATGAAGAGAAAAATGGATGTTTAACAGTTGGCAGTATCCAAAACCTTCCTGGGAATAGATTACCATGCAGCCTGTCAAGCAAGTTCTCATGCATCACTGATGACTTCCTTGAGATCGCCTGCACTACTGATGGCTCAGACCAAAGGAGCTGAGATATCCAACTAGGAGCTGAAGATTTAACACATTAATTCCCTATTTGCAAACTAAAAGTGACCTTTGCAGACAAATTTCACTGCAAATGGAAATAACTTTGCAACACCACGCAGATTGTGAAGGCATTTTTAACATTTTCATTCTGGCACTGGAAAGCTTCCATTCAAAAGCTTGAGACTGTGACTGCATCTAATCCTACTTCAACAGCTTAAAAGAAATAAAACCTCCAAACTTACAGGAATGGAAAAAAAAAAGCCTGATTCTGTCTCATGTTCTCATTTGGACCACTACTATTTTTTAAATGCAATTACCCACCTATATACATGAATTCACTCACATTGATCAAATGGGACACGGAAGAAGCAAGGTAGCCATGACTGCAACCAAACCTTTAACTAAATTTCATGTTCTTTTGATTAAATAAAGGACATCATCTCCTCCCAGTAATTAAATTGGTATTAGACTTGCCAATATATTGGAGAAGAGATATCTAAATCCACAACATACTGCATCAGAAAGGAGTTCAGAGAAATAAAAGGCAAGTTTTAAATGTCTCCAGTTACAGCACAGCACTGAGGATGGTCAAACGCCCAGACAAGTTCACTGCAGAGAGACTTGTCAGATCTGATGCTTTGAACATGGGACTCACACCCTTCTCACAAGCGTTCAGCCAGGAGAACACACCTCGTGCATTAGCAGCACAAAAGAGATTCATGCCGGGAGTCAGAGACAGCCATGAAGCCATATACATAAATCAGAGAGGCCACGGCACTGCCCAGTCCTGTGCTCTGGGTGGGAGAGCCATGTGCAGAAAGGGAGCTTCCACACCCTGCTGTGTAGCTACCTTCTGCCTATTGAGAATCTGCCTGTTTTTCTGCAGTGCTTGACTTTATTACCCCAAATCTTCCAGAGTTCAGGGAGTGTTTTGACAACACTCTCAAACACGGTTTGGTTTTTCACCGCCCTGTGTGGAGCCAGGAGTTGCACCTGATGAACCTCATGTGCCCCTTCCAACTCTGGATGTTCTGTAATGCTAAGATGGGCTAGTGGAAGGTGCTCTGTGAAAAAGCCAGATGGAGAGCACATCTGCAAATGCTGCAGTACCAAGCAGTGTTTCCTGAGTGGGAGGCTGTGATCACACCGTGGCTGTGCTGGAGAAGGGCATGCTCCCACACTGTGGGCACAGCACCATGCAAAACAGGCCTGGCAGGGTGACCAAAGGAAGGAACTTCCTCTCTAAAGCAGACAAGACAGAGGAACAATTTACTGTGTGTGGAAGGCCAGGAGAATGAGATACTGCAGCCCTCAACAGATTTATTGTAATAGCATTTAGGTACCCAACCAAATTCTGAGCCACACTGTAAAAAATCACTTATTGTTTCAGGCCAAAAGAAGAATAAGCATTAGTTCCATTCCATAGACCAAGGCAGGGATAGCAGCTGAGCCCAGCGCTCAACTGAGAGATAAGGCTTAAATACAAAGTCCTCCTTCATATAAGCATATACTGACCCATGTATTTCAGAAACCAGGCCCCGAAATATGAGTCTTACCTTCTTTTGTTGCTTCTGTCTGAGGAAGTCAAGAACCTCCTTATGCCCTGTAGCCTTTGCCTGTGAGTAGAAACATGAATAAATCCTGCCATCCTGTGCACCAGGACATGCAAATACTTTCTTGTGGGAAGTAAGAATATATTACCACAATATAATTAAAATCCAATTTAAATTTTAATTCCTCTGAGATAGATGAGAAAGTTCTGGCTCCAACAATCTATTACTTGAGGACAGCACCAGACGAGTTCACAACATACAGCAACCCAGTTTATAGCTCCAGAGCAGCATTTACTTTTCCCAAACTCGTATTACCTGACAGCACCCACAGAGTTAGAGCACTGCATGCAGTATGGCCATGTGCACACTTACTACTTGTAGGGCATTCTTGCCATCATAACCAGTTTGCTCCAGGTCTGCACCAGCCAGGTACCAGGCGTACAGCCCATCCACATCACCTTTAGCTGCAAGGCTGGAAAAAACAAGTATGTTGGTTCTTTCAGTGTATTTCACTGTGCTCCTGTGTGCTGCCTATGAGCTCCACAGGCAAATGCTGAACCAGAACAGGTTCAATATGGCTGCAGGACAGAGACGTAAGGAAAGGAACACTATTACAACAGCTTTGAATAGCTGAGCAAGCAACACAGCTTGATGAATCAGTTCCTTAAATTAATAAGGCTGTGCTATAAGTACTTACAACAGGCTGGTTTCACACAGTGGGTGTGACTATGACCAAGGGGGAAAAAAAAGTCATTCAGTTTCATATTTCACAACACGGTATTTATCTCATGAAGTGAGTTGGGGGGAGGGCAATGGCTGCATCAAGGTGCAGCTGAATAAGTGAGGGAACAGATGTGCTCATAATCAGTCTGCCCCGTTTGAAGCCACTGAGAAAAACCCTTCTTAAGTTTGCACACTACCAGAAGTTAAAACAGCACATTTACGTGTTATCCTTTGAACAGCCAGCTATGATTTTTTTTGAGTTCAGGTAATTTGTAAGATTTAAATAGGTAGCATTAAAAAAACAAAAGGAAAGGAAAGAGAAAAAGGCTGTTGAAGATACTTTATCTGCCATACATAACAAGCAATAGTAAAGCTCAACATTAATCTTATAGAAATTAGTGAATTAACGTTTTCTGAGCAATGTATGCTAGAATGTTTCTTTGCACATCTTCTGGGGGTCTCACCTGCAGTTCCTAAGGTTCCTTTTTAACTTGTTTCTTCTAAAGGGCTCACAGTCTGCACGTGCACAGAGCATGCCTGTCCCTATCAACTCTGCAGGCTAAGCTGGGAGGGCTGCCTCCGCATTTCTAAGGATAAAAACACACCAGGCCACAGAACGGAGAGCAGCTCCTTGCTGCATGCTGGGACTGTCTGAGCACAGCTCCCTGATAACCATCAGATGAAGCTGTAGCTCATTATGAGGGGGAAACCCCCAGTACTATTAAGTTCAACATTCGCTGCCTGAAATGCTGCTTGCTGTAGAGGAACGGCAGTGATGGGCTCCAGAATGATGAATGCCTGGGCAGACCAATGGAGAGCAGGGTGTGCAGGAAGATGCAAGGGGCAGTCGGTCAGGTAAGCTTATGGAAGAAAGCCTAAAAGCAAGTCTGAAAATTTCAGTTTTCTGCTAGACCGAAATCACCTCTGATGTTGATTAAATCTCTTAAGTACCTGAAAAACTGTTTTCAGGGGAGTGGAAGCCTCTAATTGCAGCAGCCTGAGGAGAAAGGCAGAGAGAAGCTTTCATTCACAGCAGTCCCAGAAGTTGTGCAGGAAAAGAGAGTGAAGAGGATCTCCATATTCCTCTTGCAACCCTGCCAGCCCCAGGGCAGGGCTGAGGCCCACAGCTGGGACTCAGGGAGACAGGGATGTGGCAGTGGGGTCTGACGTCAGGAAGAAAAGACCAGTAAGCCATTAATTACAATTGCTGTTACAAAAAGGGCCTCTCAGAAAACAGATGAAATAGAGGAAGCAAAGGCAGTCTAACAGGAAACTCAGTGGGAAGCCCTCAAGGAAACTGTAGAAAAAAGTAAACTTTAGTAAAGAAGTGTTAGCAAATCAGAGAAGTTGCTTAGCAGTCACTTCAGAACACAGTAATTACTGTTCACAAAGACTTGCTGTTGACACTGACAGGTCCCAGAATGAAGGAATGAACAAACCAAAAGCTGAGCAGGTGGGCTGCACTCAAACACTTGGCCTCAGAATGTCATTGCAAAGTGGAAACCACTCTGGACAAAGTCAAGAACATTCAGAGCTATTACAAACACAGGGCAATTCAGCTTCATCACTGTAAGCAGCAAACTGCACTTAGAAACTAAATACCTAATTAGCACCTTTTCAGAAAGAGCAGTTCAACTCACAGTACCACAGGTCAACAGCATGAAGTGGTCTCTATCTGTGATATTTTAAAGCAATCCAAATACACAGAAGTATCTTCAATTTTGCAGCAGCCATTTACCGATCAAGTTAAAAACGTATTCTGAGGACTGTGACCAGAGAACAAAATACAACAGAGCTACAGAATTCAGATACAGCTCTGAACAGAAGATACTGGCCATTCATTAAGTTGATTATAATCAAGAACACCATGAAGCATTTTCTCTAACTTCAGATCTCCATAGCCAAGCCAAACGCATCTGCAATTCCTTCACACTGTAAGCGTACTTCATAGAGTCAAACATATATATATACATATATATATATACACACTGTGTGCAGCAGAAAAATCAGAGAGATGCTGCGCTACAATGTCATATCATTTTTGGAAGAAATGATATGATTATGCACCATTTTGCAGTTTCAGCATTGCCAATGTAGTTATGATGATGACAGGAGAGCTAAAATACTAGAAACAGCGATAATCCAATTATGCTGCCTCATTTTCTGCCTCCCCGTCACACCAGTATCAAGCAAACTGAGTTACAGCTGTTGGGCAAATTACACCAAAAAGCTGCTTGGGTTTCAGAGGGCTGAGAAGGACAAGAGCCAGTGCGGTTCTAGACCTGGGAAGGAATGTGAGCAGCTAAATGACACTTTGGGTTCCCTCCTGCCACCTACAGTAACAGGATTTCATCTTTCCAAGGAACACAAAGCTCTGCTCTTCTGGTGATTTCCTATTTCAGTGCTTATATAAAACAATCAGGAAAGACCTTCTGTTTTCGGATGCATCATCAATATTTATTTATTTTTTTAAAGAAAAAAAAAAAATTAAAGTACAAAGCATGGGTTGTCCCATCCTGAGCATATCTGGGAGTGCTATTCCCATCCAGTATTTCCACATCTCTCATAGCTGCAGCAGACTTTTTGTAAGACAGGAGGCATTGTAAGCTTGGCCCCAGTTTGTACACAGACACATTTATTTCTTCTATTATTCTATCTTACACTATTTCTGCACTTCCATTGTATATAATTTTATGTAATCTCAAAAAAAAATGACATAGAAAAGTTTGGTTTGGTTTTATTGCTTCTACTTAATTTTGTGAGGTACAGCCTTGAACAGTGTCTCAGTTCTATACAGACTTCTTTCCTATCTAAAACAAAACCAAAAAGCAACTGTTCATCAACTGCAGAGCATGACAAGCCTTCAGAGTATGGCTGCATGCCCCAGTATGTCTGATCATGGCCTGTTTCTGCAAAGATGCCAATGCTACTGCAGTACGAGAGGAGATTCTGCCATTTTTAATAGATAGGATGCTAACATTGAGATCTATTTTGCATTTCAAAACAAAGCTATGGACCAGATTCCCAGCATCAACAGAGTGATTCTAAAGAGCAGATTAACACCTCTCACTTCCTCAAAATAAAGTAAATGATGAAACCATGAAAGATTTAACAAGATCACTTTGGCTGCATCCTTGTGCATCTCCACTTCATACATGAGTTCTTATGTACACTGTCCAAGTCCCAGCTCTGGTGGGTACTCCTTTCCCTCTCAAACATCACCAGAGCCAACAGAGCACATTTATTTTTATCTCCTTCCCAAAATTATGAGTCTGAACATAAGGAAATTGAGGAGGCAGGGCAGAAAATTCAGTGTTTGTGGCTTTACAGGAAAGTCAGTTTGTTTGATGATAGGTAAGTAGTAATGGCAAAAACGTGCTTCTAGTAACGGAGAACTGTATGGAGAAAAAAGATGAGCTGGTTAAGGGCAGTAACCCAGAGAGTATCAGATAGCAGGCAGCTTTGTTGTACTCAAATCCAAGAAGCAGACACAAAATCATAGAAGGGCCTGGGTAGAACAGGACCACAAAGATCATCTAGTTTCAACCCCCCTGCTATGTGCAGGGTCACCAACCACCATACCAGGCTGCCCAGAGCCACATCCAGCCTGGCCTTGAATGCCTCCAGGGATGGGGCATCCACAACTTCTCTGAGCAACCTGTTCCAATGAAATCCAATGACATACTGACATGAGGACAAATTCAGAATGGTACAAACTGCACCTTAAGGTACATTATATAAGGATAGAAGAGACATAGGAAAATAGTTCAGATTAGGTGAAGGGAAGATGTTACAAACAGCCTGTTCTATCAGCAGCTCAGCCATGTGAAAATGCTGTTTTTATATTTACGTTACCACCATTAATAAAATATCTCCAAACCTCAAAGCAAAATATTAGTTTTGAACAAGAAATCATGCCATACAGATGCAGTATGTGCCACGATCCCTGAAATGCTGCGACACACAGTGTCAGAAGCATTTTCTGTTTACAGGCCCCTTGTTCTCTTTGCGGACGCCCCACTCATGTCAGGCAGCCAAACAGGTTCTGCACGTGGTGCAGCACTAAGCAAGGGGCCAACTTATTTGCAGAGGAATTCTCTAAGCCACTCCTCTCATCTTGATGGATGGATACAATGCAAAGGAAGGGCTCACTTCTGTGCTATCACCTGCAGTGCCCTGTGAAGCACATATCAGTGGTAAAACTCCTATTATCCAGTCTCCCCTGAGTAAATTACAACAACTCAAAACCTTCAGCTTGTATTTGTTCATTCTGGAATTATTTAAAGAACAGGGTTCAGTCCCTACAATAATGCATACTTACCCAGACCTTATAGATTTGAGGATGATGTGCAGTCCTCAAATTGAGACTTGCCCTGCCCTGATACAGAGGCTTGTATTGAGGGATGTTTTTGTTGTTGTTTGTATTTCAAAGGAGAAGAAGAAATGAAGTAAAAACAACCAATAATGTTAGGAAATTAATAAAAGCCTTCTCACAATTTTGAACTCAAAACCTTGAAGGGAAAACACAAAATCTGGTATCTATTTCTTTTTGAAATATGTACCCTTAGCATTAAAGCACATAGATATATTAACAGCAACTGTATGTAAAACCTGCAACTGTACTGTTGTAATAGAAGATTATATTCGCTTAAAATTAAATACAGAGGTGGTGAGCACTTGCTGTTTTGGAGTGAAATGCATTTGACTTACATATTTTGAGAAAGACACTTGTTAAAGTCGCTCCCATCAAGCAACAAGAGGATTTTATTTTAATAAAAACTATGCACTATGGGCAACTTTGTTTTCAAATAGAGATGCTATTCAAAAATCTATTTCCTTCTCACTGTTTGAGACTGAAATTGCCTGCAAAAAACTGTGTGCTGTCTTCTCGGTCACTTATCCTCACAATATTTCTTTACTTTGGAGCCCTCTTGACTTATTGGTGTTGCAGTACAGAGTTGATAATAAATTTCATCACTCTCTTGTTTCTTCATTATTAGTTTCGCACAGGAGGAGTCACATGTCATGTGCCAGGGACACAGGGAATAACTTCCTTGAAAGCTGTTCTCCATTCTGAGAGCCTCCTCTGGAAAATCCTTCCCTTCCATCTCAATTTTAGGGCCCCACCTTCCCTAAAATCACATTTACCTGCAAAGTATTGTTCCAGTGTTCTCCAAGTCATGGCTTGAAAGATGAGCTCCTGTTTCTCGTAATAAATTGATCACCTGTATGTGCCTTTAAGAAAGAAACAGAAAAGAAAAAGAAACAATCACAGATTTTGAGAAATTTCTGAAACCAATTTCCTTCCCTTTTCCACAGAAACTCTGCCAAGCCATGGACAAGGCCAGCCTCTAAGATACTGTCCTGGGTAGAAAATAACATGACAGATAAAAAAAATCACAAAATACATTTTCACGAGTGGCCTAACGGAAGGTTTGGAACTTGGTTCCAAAGGAAGGTGACTGTGCTCCTCTGCCAAACAAATAATCTAGGTCACAAACCTAAAAGCATACTGTTTTCTCCAAGAAAGGGCGAGATGGCATCAGCAGATCAGATTTCCTATTTCCTCTTTCAAATAAATTACTAGACCATACTTAGAGAATTAGAGTGTTGAAGAAAAGACTTGAAGTTTCTCAAGCCACTGCCTAAACTCATCTGTATTAATTCAAAATAACAAGTAAGTTCGCTTATTTGTGCTACATCACTTGCATTTTCTTGGAGGTAGCCACAGGCCTTCCCATTTTAGAACTGGACTAAACTACTTACTTAATTCCACTGCTTCTCTTTAAGAAACTGCATCTTGAATGAGAAGTTACTTTAATGTTATCCAGATTAAGTCTATGTAATCTTATATATTCCATGTAAGGTCTATCTTTATAAATTAAAAACTAAACACTGTAGTGGCAATGTGGGAATCATTTTGCTTTTTCAAACATGATTTATTTGCCCTATCAGATGTATTTTTTCAAAATGTACTTAATTTCAATATATATATATATTTGTTTCGTGGCAGGCAAAGCATTGCTGTAACAGCAAGCACCACAAGTTGTTCATCTGAAATATTTTCTCAGGAAGGTCCCTTATAACACAGCTTGTCACCCACAAGCATCCCCTTGAGAAAGTAAATAATGACACTGCATCCTATTTTTCAGCCTGCAGAGGAGAATGAATTCTACATTTATGAATTCTTAGACCAGTAATTAGCTGAAAAGTGTTATTTTTGATACTGTGACTATGAAGAGCAAGAAAGCATAGACCACCACTCACATTTCCATCACTCAATGCGAGAACTATGCGGGGCTAAGCTGTGCAGCAGCTTGTTCCTATTTGCGTTCAAATGGCATCTATATTCTCAGAAAACTTAAGCCCTATCCAGCCCTATCACTTCTTACATTTACCCACGAGAGCGTTATTCAGACTTCAAGAGGCTGGCAGTGCATTTGCTGATATGTCTCATGCACAAGAGAGGTATTTGTCTTTAGACGTTGTTTCTGCTCTTCTATGGCTTTGCCAAAGCCTCAGAAGGACCAGTGGTTTAACTGATGTCATGAGCAATAATATTCCTGGCAATGGTTCAAATGCGACTCCCTTTCTAACATGACAGCACACAACCAAGAGCAGTGCAACTGCTGGATAATTAAAGTATAAGTTTAGAGAAAAGACCAATGTCTCCATGTTAACCTGGAGCGCAGAGCTGCTTGTCCAGTCCAGCTTCATCTAATAAGCAAAACCATGAGCACGCGTGGTGCCTGCGAGCTGCTCCTGTCTGCCTTTCCTTAGCTCCCTCTATTACCTAACCATGGCTCTGGCTCAGACACAGCCCATACAAACAGTGCTATTTCATGTTACTGAAATTAGCTTTTTGATACTGCCACTGACATCTATTTGCTCTCCAATGGAAAATATAACAGACCAGAAGTGTTTCTAGTGTCTCCCCTGCTCTGATTCTATTACTAATGATAACATTGAAGATTAAAAAAACATGTATAATAATAACAATAATAAAAAAGTAAACTAGTATTTTAATGACTTCAAATATCTTCAAATATCCATTCCCATGCTCAAAATTTAAGATCCAGATAAAGACACCAGAACTTCTGGCTCTGACTTTGCAGCCACCACGAAGCTGCACAGTACGTATCATCCTGGGCTTTGACTTGGCAGACACTTACAGAAGGGAATCGACTTCAAAAGGCATGAATCACACATGTGAAACAAACACACATGTAAGAGTTTGCAAGGTTGGGGCCCTAGGGTATACACCTTCCACCAACTCTCTTTAAAGAAATGCAGGTGTAATGTATATCCAAACTTGACAGGCTTCATTCTTTTTAATGCTTGCTTCCCTAGCAACTGCAATGGTTATGGCAGGATGAGCTTAGTTTCACTTCTTCAGTTTTCTACAGAGTATCAGTGGGAATTTTATGCTCTAGGATTGTAAGGACAAATTTCAGAATACTTTTCTAAACTTCAGTGTTTAAATTCTCGCTCTGCCTTCCATTTCCTGAAGTAATGTAAATGGAACCTTGCAAAATATCAAGTATTTAAATTTTTAGTTACGTGGGAGGTAATTTTACTGCCTCTAATCTGATGTTCTCACAGCAGCACACCAGAAACTCCCTGTTTTCAACCTCTTACCACTGTTCTATAAGTAAATGGAAGTGCTTTTACTACATAAAATATACAGTTTTTATTCAAGACATTTTCCTGCTTAGAAAAGTTTCTGTTATTAAGAAAATATTATTCTATTGTTTTGAAAATGAATTATCCCTGGAGGGTACTCTAAGAAGTTAAAGGAACGCTACTAATTTTGATATGTCAAGCAACTGGCCTAAATTAACAGTGGTCTGTTTAACTTCATGCATAAAGTGAATGAGACTACATGTAAATTGCAGTTACAAATGAAAAAGCGGAAATGCAGTACTTTATTTCTCATTTAGAACTGGACTCCACATTTTACCATCTACAGAAATAAAGAGTCAGGTAGAGTATAAAAAACCCAAAACAACAACAAACAAACTTAAGAGACTACCTCTGATACAGATCAAATTGCTGATCTATAAGCGTCAGTACTATGTTAAGATGCTTTTAAGAAGAGACATAACTCCTGATCATCTTTACACGTTATGAAATGGAAAAGGAAAATCAGTCATCATTACACAGATTTACATGCTAGGTTAAAAGGCAAGCTGCTGAACAATGTGACATAGAAAACTGAAGGAAAGCTGCTTTTAAGATGAGTGGATTCTGTACTGCAATTATATTCCAATTAAGCAAATATTAATTCTCAGAAAATGGGATTAAGCTGATGCAATATTCAGTAAAATTGAGAAAGTTACAATATGAAACATTATAAAGCACTGACTGCTCATTAAAGTTGGTTTTCCCCCTTCCCTTTCTGCACACAGTACATTGCATCAGGATAATCTTCACTTTCAGCACGCAACCATTTAATAAACAGAATTTAAATATTTCTGTAGCTCAAATCTTTTTAGTGGGTATCTAATTACACACACATAAAGCTGTCTGATCTTTGCCCATCTTCTTGCAGGCTTATCAGAGCGAAACACAGTGTGAGTACACAGGAGATCATAAACACAAAATTATGAAATTACTTCCAAGTCAACTCTTCCTCTCATTACAGCAGTTGAAACAAAAAGAGAAACTGAAAATGGTTATGGTTCAGTTTCATTTACAGTTCCCAATATCAAAATGTGTGTGCAGTTTTAAAGAGCTTAAGAGTCATAGCAGGAGTCTTAATAGAGGAGTGGCAATGCTAAAGAATCCAAACAACAAGCTCATGTGAAATTCCTCAGGCGGTAGTTGGGTGCGGTAAAAAAAAAAAAGTAGGTGCCTGATTTGCAGGAACATCTAATGGTATCTAACGTTTTAGCATTTTCTCACATTGGACTAGAGCCACTTCTATTCAGCTATGAGGTTATTTGTTTGATTTGCTGTTGGGCTTGTTTTTGCTTTAAGACTTCAAGGGTTTGCCACTGAAGAGCTCATATATTCATAAGACTAAGCAACAATTTATGAATCCATAAGGGATCATGCAGCAGGTATGGCAGTAGCACAGCGGGGCCAAACAGGACTTAAAATCTCAAGTTAACAGGGCCTGTTGAGTTTTCTTGCATCTGGTGGTTGAGACAGGCAAAAAAGTTACTTCTGTAGCCAATGCAAAAACATGGCTGTTAGACCTGCCAGGGAGCAGTCTCCAGCCTGAAAGACCAGGTGAACTTGTCAACGTGAGAAAGCTGTAGGAATATCTGGGGACAGACACCCGTGAAGACCATTACAGTTCTACCACTCCAAGCTCCTTTATGTAAAATAGCTTCTCTCCTGCCATCATACAGACTGAATATGAGATAAGGAGCTGAAAGTGGATCAAAGAAACAAGAGATTAGGGCATGCAGCTTCTAACACGTTGGAAGACCAGTGGCTCTATGAATCCCCAGGCTATAAAAAACAACTATTTTAAAATTAAACGTCTCCTAACTGATGACTTTTACACACTATGTCATGGCCGTCCCTTAAGAGCATGCAACATGGAAAAGACCAGTACATCACTTGTCCATGACTATCATTCAAGAACTACTGACATTCAGAACAACAGGAAGAGGAAATCCACAAAGCAGGCAGAGCCACACAGACATCTCATATTATTATGAGTGGGTGGAAGAGAAAAAAATATATATATAACATAAAAGTCACCCAGCAAGAGACTCAAGCAAGCATAGGTGAAAAGGAAAGACTAAAACATGACAACCTACCAGTACATTTTGTGCCAATTGAAACAGTCTGGTCTTGATGAGAAAGGGGAGGGCAGAAAGAAAACAAACTGCCCAGGGTCCTGCGTTCACACTTCTGACGGTCAAAATGAGTTTGGCTCTGTTTTATAAAGAAGTCTCATAGCAGAAAGTGGAGACCTGAAATTACGGACAAAGCCTTGGCAAGAAGGCAGCAATAAGTCACCTTATGCTAAAATTCTACATGCGTACAAAGCTTTTTGCTTTAATTTTCTGTTATTTCAAAAATAGTTTTAATTTAGGCTAGTCACATCCTTTGAAACAAAGCTGTTTTGTGTTATTTTCACTGCTGTCATTTACGCATGATCGCTGAGATAACACAAGGCCAAAAAAATAGGGATGGACTTTAACATTCAAATTGATGTAATGTTTATAAGCTTAACACAAAGTGGTATAGAAATTGTTACCTGAACTTGATCGCATTCATCAGTGGGGTAGATCCGTATCTGTCTCTAGCGTAAACAGTTGCACCAGATGTTAACAAATACTCAACTAATGGTAAATGCCCTTCAGAGGCTGCAATATGAAGTGGAGTTCGGCCATCATAGTCTTCACAGCTTAGGTTTCCACCCTACAAAAGGACAGGTCTTTCACATGCTAAAAAGGCAGTGGCTGCACATTAAATTGTTGGTACAGCAAACCACGACAAGCTGTACCGCCAAAATATTAAGCTTACAAGTTTATCTCATAGTGATATTTCTAGCACCAGTACAGGTATTTATTTCACTCTCCTTTTCTCATTCCAGCCCCCTCAGATAGGCTTTTTGCTGCTCTACATCACACAGCAGCTTTGTGCCTAGAGTCTCCTAATTTTGTCTACGTTTATTGTTATTTTCAAGATACATTTATCCTTTTTCTAGACCCATTATCAAAGCCTCTAGACTAGAGTTAGAACAAGGAAAATTAAAAGAAAGAGGTGTAGAAAATGATACCGGGTAATAGGTATTTCTTTTTTCAAGTATAATCCAAGCTAGAGCTATGGGGAGAGCCAAAATCCTGATTTAACACTGCACTGCATTTCACTTAAATATAATTTCCAAGTTCTTTTTTTTTTTTTTTTTTTAAATCACGACAGATTTACATCCAAAAGCTGGATACTATGAATATGCATAAAGAGAGTTAAATGAAAGAAGGCAGCACAAATCATTTTAAAGCGTTCCACAGTTAGCAGATAAGAACTTGCATATTAATCTACCTGTATTTTTGCAGTTCAAAAGAAAATGAAAGCAGCTGAGAACCAGATAGAGGAAAGAACACACCAGTTTTGAAGGCAAAGTCTGAAGTGCCTAGAAACTAGTTCTATTAGTCAAAGCACCTTGATTTTAAGACCTATATCGTTGCTTCCCAGAGAGCATTAGCTTCCTCCTATCATGTACAATACTCCTATATTCAAGCTCTACTTGAATACTTATTCACAAACTGTGAATTTCACATTACCATTTCTGCTATGGCTCTCAGTGCGTCTATGTCACCCAGTTTAGCTGCAGCACAAGCCAAAGGTGGAATTAATGCATCTCTTACAGCTTCTAACTCCTGAGAAACAAATAAAAACAAACATTTAATATCAGCCTTGCCTGTAATGTGATTAAAATCTAAGCCATAAAAACTCTGCCCTTACGCTTTCATGTAAAGTTTTCAAATTAGTCATCTGGATATTTTAAAATGGTAGCATTTTGTTCTTGGAAGGAAAGAAGTCTCCTGTTTACTTTACATTTTGTATCTCTCCCATCCATGATTTATATTCCTCCCTAGCAACACTACAATTACCTGGTATCTATATATACCATTTAAAGTGCACATACTAATTACCATCTCTGCCCTGCCACAGTTACACACCAGTACAGTAAGAGAAACAGGGCTGGTAGGAGTTAGAGGAGATCATTATCATTTATTCTCGTCAAGAATGAATCAACTTTAGTCATGTGAGTCCTCAGATATTTGTGTAATCTGTACTTCCAAACCTCCCATTTCTCATACTAAAGAACTAAATAAATTCAGTATTCATATAGCTGTTAAAAATCTCATCTTCCCTCAAAACATGTCAAGAGGAAAGCAAACGCTTGTATCCAAGAACCAGTACTATAGTTTCTGATTTTCCAATTGAGACTAATATTAAAAACCACAAATTATACTTGTGTAACGCTTCCTCAGTATCATCCTTCTATGACTGCATGCACAATTAAGCTGTTATACCCCTTATTATTTGGCTTGCTCCAAACTGTCAATACATTTGACCACAAAAACACACAGCACTTTTTCATATCATTGATACCCTGAATTACAGCAACTGTCTGAGGCTTGTTATTGTAGCCAGGCAGCCAAGAAAATAAAGTCAAGATGGGGCTACAAAGAAAGAAAAAAAAATAACAACTAACAAAACAGCAAATTTAATGTGTTTTTAATTAAAACCATTTTAATGCCCTGCTTGTCATTGTGTCCTTTCTCTCCACCCCAGCTGGTTAGCTGGGGCACTTGGTACTGAAAAAATAATCTAAAAGTTTCAGTGTTCCATTTTTCTTTCAGCTGTAAACTAGGTTCATTTAACTGAGTTTATAGATTTACATGAGTTTGGGTTTAAATATTTAAAGATATACCTCCTTGCAGCTGATACTTAGAGATCTGGCAATCACTTGAATAAACTTGCTATCTCTGAGAGAGATCTTGGCTCCTGTGGGTACAACAGTCATTTCTCCTCTTAGATTCTC